TATTTGTTCAAATAATTATGTGCAGGTTACAATATAAAAATGTTTGTTATAATCATGTCTTGTGATTATTTGACAGAAGTTTTACTTTTAAACTGTAAGTGTATTTAATTTAGTTATAATGCAAATACAATACAAATTAAACCAAGATTTATAATAATTATCATGTTGATCCATATGGTAATGTGTGACTGGGCCTCGTGTCTCTTTATGTTCAACAGATTAGGCCCTGAGGTCAGAAAGGTTAAGAACCTCTGGTCTAAAGCTTTTGTTTTTGTCTTACAGGAATCTTCCAGAGAAAGATTGTCGAGTACCAGAAGAAGCTGAGGAAACACTAGCTGAGCCCACGGCGCCGCACTCTGGATGTAAATAAATATAAAAATAGGAGAAGATGTGAATATGTTGCACTGTACCTTTTTGTTTTGTTGGTTTTGGTTTTTAAATGTTTTAAATGTAAATTACTGAACGGCTGCTGCTACTACCCTCAGTGTCGAAACACTGGCTGGACCAGAGACCYGGCTCTGGTTCTGGTTCTGAGCCCTGCGGCTGCAGTCTGGTGATCATTTCAAATAAAGACTAGTTCTTCAGGTCCGCCTTCAGGGATCTGAAGTTCAGACTTTCAGAGGAACTTCCTGAGTCTGTGGTCATTTCTGCTCATGTTTCCTGCTTAAACCTGATTATTACCTGGCTGCTCAGCTTTGTAAAAACTGATCTGAACCCAGAGTGAGGAACGTCGGCTCCCTCTAGTGGCAAATTAAAGTTACGACTTCTTTATTTATTGTAGCTGCAGAATTTTAAGTCCTGTTTTCCCTGCTGCACAGTGCAGCCAATCAGCTTTCAGTTATTTTACTCTTATTTTATTTATCTTTAGTAATCCTGCATTAATGACACTCGTTCGAACTATTAAACAGGTCCCGGGCTGTAAAATGATGTAGTTTCTTTAATATTTTAAAATGCAATTCTGGAAAAATATAACCGCTTCACCTCCTTGTTTCAGTTTACAAAATAAATAACTTTAAAAAAACTATCATTTGGGAGATTTTATCATTAGTGTAAGAATCAAAACTGTTTTGATTTATTTAATAATTTGTTAATCCTTCATGAGCACTTTTAAGGATCAGTGTTCCTGTCCAGTGAGATCAGTTAACATCACCAYAGGGCTGATTTGGAATGTGAAAGTTGCAGGTTCAATTCCCCACTGTACCCTTTACGTTGTGTTGTCCTTGAGCACGACATTTAATCTCTAACTGCTGCCCAGTCGCTTAACGAGTTGCTCAATTTATGTGTATCCAGTGTTGTATAAAGTACCTTAAAGTGATACTTGAGTAAAAGTACAAGTATCTTATGAAATTAATTTGGTAAAAGTTAAAGTCTTTAAGAATATTACTTGAGTAAAAGTCTTAAAGTATCTGGATTTTTTTGTACTTAAGTATCAAAAGTAAATTTTTGACATAAAATGTACTTACGTATTAAAAAGTATTGAGTAAAGATGTGCAGTTAGGTTTTCCAAAATGGCCTTTATTGATTTGATTTATTGATTTAACAGGAAAAGATTACTAAAAATCAAGCCTGACTCAGCATAATTGCTGTTTTACAGCAGGTTCCTGTTCTGCAGCACATAAAACACTCAGAATTACAGCATCACAATCACATCATTATACACCATAGACACAAAGACAAACAAGCATACCAAATTTCAGGAAGGCAGCATTTACAAAATAGGACGTCTAAATATGAGCAGAACAAAAAGTGTCCAGCAGATGGCAGACAAGATTCTTCTTAAAGGGCTGTAGTTTTGAAATGGACTTTATGTTTTGAGGAATGTCATTCCATGCTTTAGTAYAAACATAGAAGAAAGACCTCTGGCCGTAACAGTTTTTAAAAGTTATTGGGAGGTGACCGCTCCAAAAAATACTTTTTCTAAAAGCTGTGATGGATTGTGTACAATTTATGTCAGAATATTTATTCTCATCCAACTAGTTAAATTCACTCTTTCCAGGAGTCACAAATCATCAGGATTTATTTATTTTAATTGTAATAATGAATCAATATGAAATAGGAGTAACTTTATACTTCTTACTTTGTTTAAAAATGTAAGTTAGTTAAGTTTATTCATTAAAAAAAGAACATAAATTCAGCAAGCAAAAAATACAAATCATAAATAAAATGAAAGGTAGCAGAAGAAAAAATCTTTTTCTCAAAAAAAAAAAAGAAAAATAATAAAGGTTTAACTCCTTGAGCAACAATTCATACATTATATATTACATATTTGTCCAATAAATTTACCTTTATCATTCTCTTAATTTATCTGGTATAAGAAGTAGAAAGTACAGATAATTGTGTAAAAATGTAAGAAGTAAAAATAAGCTGAACAAAAAAAAATTATGTGAAAACCTGCTGATGGAGACAAAAAGTCAGTATTTAAATTAGTGTGGATGTTTTGACATTTTGAACCAAAAAATTATCATTTGCGCTAATAATTACTGTTTTTAAATATCCTCATTTATGAAAAAAATACTTTAAGTAAAACATAAAAACTCATAAATTCATATTTATGAGTGGACTTGGATCCTTTCAAAATAAAGGTTCAAACTCTTGCATTTTCAACTTTTTTTTTTTTTTWAACAAACACATGTTAGAGAAGCTCCTTCCTGTTCACATGATCAGTCTGGGCTCTGGGACCAGTCCAGGTGAGTCCATTCAGAACAGGTCGGAGCCGCTAGGTGTCCGCTGAGTCCGCCCGGGCTCGGTTCGGGACGGTGCACCGCCCCCGCCCGGTGGAAACCAGCGACTCGGCGCACACCGCACCTTCGACCAAGGTAAGCGAACAAAGACTTCCACCGTAAAGAAACGGAGCCGGGGCGGCTGGCAGCTAGCACCCCGGGCTTTTTGYTCAACTTCGGTGTCGAGCGACGCGAACGTCCGCCGTTCTCCACCGCGACGTCTCCGGTTAACCGCCCCGGGCTTCCGATAAGTAGCTAACGTTGACTTGCTAACTTTCACTTAGCTGTTGGCTTCAAGAACTTCTGCTCGTGAAGGTAGCTGAAGTTAAACCGGTGCTTCCGGTGAAGGTCGTCAAAATAAGAGTTTGGGACGCAAGTCAGCGCTTCTTTCTATTGTGGTGAGTTTTACTTTGAAGGAAAMTTCCGGTGGTAGCCGCGTTTTCCTTCGCTAACCTGACTCGAGGAACTTTAATAGCTAACTAGCTAGCTTACTGATGCTAGCWGGCGTTTGTTTACGAACTTGAAAGTGAGTAAAAACTTTAAATTTATAACCTGTAAGTAGAATAAGGTGGCGGTAAARTGTGCCGAACGGTAGTTTAAGCTGATTTATTTTTATATTTGTTAGCTCTTTGGATAAGTTAGCATCACAAACGTCCCGACCGAAAGTAGCTCCGGTTCTGGAGCTGGTTGGGTCAGTTTTTTAGAACAAACCGAACTTCCTCACTCATTGTTTGACTTCTGAGCTGKTTTTAAACGACACAGGATAATAAAAACTACCTTTAATTACTCCTAAAACTTTTAACTTTAACCAAAAATCTGTGCGATTATGTTTTAAATATTTGGATATTTGTAGTTAAACATAATCTACAAACATTTAGTTAAGTTTGTATTTATGAGCTTTTTAATACTTTTGATTGAAGTTGTTTTGCTCTGATTTGTTTGTCTTAAATTTCAACTATAAAAAACAACGAGCTAGTTAGTGATATTAGTAATTTTTTTATCAGTTATTTAGGTTTTGCAGCTGATTTAATACGTTTTTGTGTTCTTCAACACAATGAATACAGCAAACAGAAAAGCATATCAATAGATTTATAACATTTTTTGAAACTAATGTGTTTAGAAAATGACGAGCAATATTTTTTCTGAAGAATTTAGTCTCAAAATTTAGTTATTTTCAAGCGTCAGGGCTTACACAAATATATTTCCCAATTTCTCTGCGTTATTACAGTTGTTGACAACATTCCTCTTTTTTCTGCTGCTTTTCTTCCTCTTTTTCTTTTTTAACTGATGCTCGTTTCATGATGTCGTTTCTTTCTTTTGTTTTATAGCTTCGGCTCTGTTTGTGTTGTCACGTCTCGTTCTCACGTTGTGTTAAAACAAACAGCACATGAAGTAAACAAACAGCACATGAAGTAAACAGTCTTTTTTCTGTCAATATGCAAATATGGGTCATTTTGTTTACTTTTAAATTACTTTGTACACATTTTTGACCACGACTGGTAGTGGAGATATTGAAGTGCAACATGGTAGTGGGTATTATTATTATTATTATTGCATGTATTATTGCTTAAAATAAACTTAGCTGAAAAAGTAAGGAAATTAACATTTGGTAGATGATTTCTTTATTGCAACAATGCTTCTCGACAATCAGTCTTATACCGTTGGAAAGCCTGTTAAATTCCATTTTAAATGGTGCCACATTTGTAAGGAACATGCATTTGTGGGACGAACAGTAGAGCTGAGTACGTGGGTTGTGCACATGAAAAATGTGTCAAATCTTTTCTGTTAAACAGCTGATTTTGCTGTTGACTCTTGTTTCGAGCTTCTGGTGCCTCCAGGTTCTGCCAAKGATTTGATTTATTTGATTTATTGATTAGGATCCCCATTAGTTTCCACTAAGATGGTTACTAATCCTCCTGGGGTACAACTGATATATTACACAATATTTATAACACATAAAATCATGACATAAAATATACACAAAATTAGTCAAATTACACGTTTTACAAAATTACAAWYATAAGCCTAGTTAAAAACAAAACTAATAATAATAAAATAAGACAATACAAATAAGATTTCAGTGCTTTTTAAATATCTAATGTTTTAAGTCATTTATTCCATTCCTAAATAGCTCTATAGACTGACAAGTTTGTCTTAGCATGTTTTACAATTAATTTAGTTTCACAAGAGTATCTAGTATCATAATTATGTATCTGATCAGAGTAAATGGGCTTTTCATACACTGATTCAGGTCTCCCAGTTAGTATAACTCAGTAATGGCCACAGTAAAATTCAGTGTATTTCTATAATGCTTGCATGAAATGGACAACTTAACACTAAGTGAGCAGCCTTATCTTAAACTACCAGTAGCCTTAAAAAAATCTGATCTGTTGGCAACAGACCATAAAACTGAGCAGTGAGACCGAACTAAAGATCGTACAACCTCTTTAAGAACTGATGGAATAACAAAAGRTGAACATCTTCTGACAACAGCAATATCTGACCCATTTTACTAATTATATTGTCAATATGATGAGACCAAGACAAGTGATGGTGAGGTGCAGCTATAAAGGCCCTGTCACACTTATGCCAACTAATGAACATTTTAAAGATGTCTACGTTGAACATGGAATTGAAAAAATCAACAGGAAGCTTTTTTTTCGACACGTACATAATAGAGGTGTAAGAAAATATCAATACACTGAAATATCGTGATATTTCATTTCCCGATACTGTATCAATATTCTAAAGCCCTGTATCGATTTTTAATTAAGGTTTAAAATGTCAACCTTCTTGCCAACCGTTCATTTTTATGTTGTAGTTCAGCCTCTGACCACTAGTTGGCAGCAGTGAGCCAGACATTTGGCTCCTCTACCTCTTGAGCGCCAGAGAGTAAGGGTAGCATTAGCATTGTATGAGACAATGGCTGTGTCCAAAACGACAGGCCGGGTCCTCCGGAGGACCCAGACTACCCGGTCGAGGCGGGCCGGGTCCTTGGTAGACCGGGAAGACAGGAAAAAAAGAGGCTGTGAATTTGGACGGTCTAGCCTCCCCTCCTTACCCCGGCGTACCTCATGTCACCTAGCAACTGTGACGACGCTAAACAAGCAAACTTAAATCAAAACTACAAAAATATCAATACATTAGCATTATTAATATCACAAAACTATAAAATTAACTTAAAAGTATCATTTGAAGAGCTAATTGACCCGCTGTAGATGCATGTTTATTTCGCGTTTTTATGACGAAAAAATAATATGTAAAAACATGTCCATACAAATGATAAAAGTATTAGAATTACAACCGCTAATTATTTTTATTTTTATATCACCATATTTTTATTTAAAATGTATTCTTTTCTCTCGTTTCATCCGCCATTACTAGCATAAAAAAATCTCCGGTCGGGCCGCAATGCATTATGGGATACGCTGGGCCGGGGAGGATCCATCGGACCTGTCCTTCGATTCGGGGAAAAAGAAGGACGTATTTGTCGGCTGCATCGGAGGAGTCTTCGGTTTTGGACGTCCTTTGTCGCTGCGCTGTGACGTATGCGGCCGACGAATTCGACCTTCGGAGGACCCGGCCTGCTGTTTTGGACACAGCCAATGTATGCATTTTAAGTAAACGTTAGCTTTTCTTTTTTTTCAGTAAGAGGTTTTTATTTAATAGAATTTTTGGACAAAAAAATCGCAATATATTGCTTTGCTTACAGTATCGCAATATATCAGGATATGTCGTATCGTATCGCCAAATTCTTGCCAATACACAGCCCTAGTACATAATGTAATTCTAACAGACTGATCAAATATATAACTTTTATTACCAATTTAGACATAAAAATGTTTCATAAGTTGTCTAGTGTGACCGGGCCTTAAGATTTATAACCAGGAAGCTTTGTTACAAAACAATAATCTACCAAACACTAATTTACTGACTTATTATGAAGTATAGATCGTTAACTTCTAAATCTGAAACAGTGGTCCTCAGTCTGAAGGCTGGACTCTCCTCCGAGTCGGTGAGGTTCTGTCTCAGGTGGAGGAGTTTCAGTGTCTCAGTGAGGAGATGACCGAAGGTGAGCTCTACAGACGCCGTATTGTGGACTCTGTTCCGGTCCGTTGTGGTGAAGAGGACCGTCTCTGTTCAGCTGTGTGACACCTCAGGACGACCTCAGAGCACAGTACTGATCTTTGGGTTTGCAGAGATTTAACAGACATTTCCATCCATAAGTTGTTGTTTTTTTCTATGTAAACTTCGTAAACGGCGCTTTGGGCCGCAAATATTTTATGAAGCCAGAGGAAGAAACGAATGAATAAATTGCGCTGCTTGGACGGCGGGTAGTGATGTTGCAGCTTCAGTAGCTTCTGTCGCAATCTCTGCTCTCAGTCTGTAACTTTTATTTCCACGTGGCCGTTTCCTGAGTGTACACATGCGCAGAAACAAAACTACAAAYGACATAAAACTACAAAAATGGAGGAAAGCGGTTCAGCCGGCCCTGATCATGAGGATCCTTCGCCCACATTTAGATTAAAGCACCGTGAGATTGTAAAAGATTCCCACCCCCTCGGTGAAACCCTACACATGCGCAGGTAGAGCRTGTAAACTCCACTCAGACAGGCTGGGAGGTGAACCTGAGAGGTGTCGGCTCTGACCGCTGCGCCACCGTGTCGCCTGTTGAAACTCGATCATTTGTGAAACCAGAACATTTAAAAAAACAGATCCACCGCTGACAAAAACATGATTTATTCAGTTCGTCATTGGACACAAGAACAAAGAAAGGCTTTTTGTGATTTTATTTATTTATTTGTTGCTCTGCAGAACGCCCACATGACAATCCAAAAAAACCCATTTTTTATAAATCACTAATCTAAACTTGACCTTCCTGTGAGCTGTGGTCTGCTCTACTTAACCACCTTTTCCTGTAACTATCTGAGTTCAGAGGAATCCACTCAGTAAACCCACAGAAAGATGTTTTTCACTCTTCTTTATCTGAGCTGTTGTCTCTGAGTGACCTTTGACCCCTGATGTTTCAGTCTGATGCTGGATAAAAACAGATTATATATTTGAAGGATTGTTGCAGTTTTTCCAGGCTTTTATTTTTTACATTCTGCTGGAAATCCTTCATAAATAATATTTAGGAATAACTGAAGTGATAAATAAAATATTAGATGAAGTAGATAGTATTACTTGAAGATTGTTTTAATTTTTTTAAAGGGGCAGATATGTTTTTTCTTCTTTCTGCTGCCTTTCATTTTATCTGTGATTTGTATTTTTTTTAGTATAGATAGAATTTGTCCTGATGCATCTCGGTAATCCACGTAGAAAAAAAAAAAGTAGGTCCTTTGGGCGGGTTCTTCTTAAATGAAACGTTTCGTCTCTCCTCCAAGAGACTTCTTCAGTCTGAGAGTTTCAGGTGAACTCAGCCTTATAAGCTCCGCCTCCACCTGGTGGACAAACAGGTTGGTCACATGCAAAAGAGGACCATCAGCCAAACAATCTTTAGTGCCTTGATTAGATCTGTTGTTCATAGAGGGTCATTTGACCCATCACCTGACTAGAGCTGCCACAAACGATTATTTTTATAATCGATTAATCACCGATTATTTATTCGATTAGTCGACTAATCAGATCACACGCTAATTGAATATAAAACATAAAGCTTATCACGTCAGAATGTAGCTGTTATTATATA